TGTCGTAAAAATTCCCTTCTTTTCGTTGAATCCCCAAAACCATTCACATTTGCCGATAGAATCACAAGTTTACTAGCCGAGTTGTTTTTTAAGTAATGTGTTGTAAATAAATTCCAGAGTATGCATACATGTATATAAATAGACTACGATATATAATAAGATAAAATTACAGGTTCAGAATGACATATTGTTATTTAATTAAATGTTATGATAGTGTTAAAATAAGATAGAGGATTAAGTAGATTGGGGGGGGGAGAAGGAGGGGGGCGGCTATGAGACATACTGTGCTCGGATTTTTATTCATTCAGCACACATAATATATAATATGTAATCCGGGAAATTTTGGCAGGGGGGGGGGGCGGCACTTAAATCAGTAAATATCATAATATATCTACGCACACATAAATATATGGCTAATCACCGATGCACTGCAGAAGGGAAAGATTAAAGCAGCACAAATAATAACAGTTAAAATAAATTAGTAATGTAATGGTAAAATGACAAAATGCTGACCTCTCATGTAATGTATAATTTATTAAGGTACCATAGAATACAGTTGGATGAAAATTAGAATAAAGATTTAATGTAGGGAAGCTCGGAAATGCAAGGCATTTTTCCCCCCTGTATAAAATATTATTCTTCAAATGCTTCAAAGTTGAATTTAAAACCCTCAACTACCTTTCCATTGTAAGCATTTAGTACTTTACTACAAATGGATTTGGTTCCAAATGTCAGCCTTGCACTTCCATTCAACATCTGTTTTCCTTTGATATTATCAAACTCTTGCTTTTTAAGCATCTTTTTTAGCAAGGCGTCTAATTTCAATTCTGACATTTCAGCCAACCCAGTAATAAGCAGCTGTTCTTTGGCTAATTCTAGGGAAGCAGCATTAATGGAGGATGATGGAATCATACCATGTCTTGCTTTATTCCCTTTTACAAAATTACACATGGTCAAGGGATCAGGATAGAACTCTTCAATTAATGTATAATCCTTCTTTCCAGAGTCAACTTTGTCTCTGTATCTCAGCTGCATAAGGTGCCCACTGAATATTATTTGAGTGTTAACTGCAAAAAATTGCTTATGTTTCCATGCCTTTCTTTTCATAGACTTGTATTTGGCACGATATGCAGCTGGGACGTCTCTGTCAAGGACTAATCCAGATCCCCCAGCCAAATTACTAGCATGTCGCAAAATTTCATTTCTTTGGAATTGGTTTTCTAGGCTGACAAGAATTGAAGGAATCTTGTCCCCCCCCTCCCTTCCCATTTTTGTAACAGAGGTTATCTTGTACTCCTCTTGTTATTAATCTCCAGAGCTGGGAACTTTTGAATTGTGGGTTTTGGACTCAATGCTTGATCCACTCTTAATCTCCATATTAATTAACTGATCAGGATTAAGGATTTCCCATTCTAAAGTTTTTAGCTATGATTAATTAACCGAGCGGGATTATGGAAATCCCATTCTCTTTTCCTTAATCTCGAGATTAAATAATGCTTGTTTTCCTTTTGTTATTAATCTCCAGATTAATTAACCGATTCAGAGCTGAAAACTTTAAAATGGGATATCCTTAGTCCCGATCGATTAATTAATCTTGAGATTAATAACAAGAGGTGAACAAGCATTATTTAATCTCGAGATTAAGAAAAAGAGTGGATCAAGTAATAATCCTCAGCTCAGATCTGATTAGAGACTTTTAAAGGTTCCGAAAAAAAACATAATCACTTTTTTTAGAGTTTACAATTTACACTCTGATACTCCATTCATTCTCCCCCCGCCCCAGGGAACAATTTCCCAGTAATGCAGCAATCAACTACCCTATACCATCTAAAGCTATGCAAATAAACAAAACCAGGTGAAATGGTTTAAATATCGATAACATTTTTCAAAGCAGTAATTTTTTTTTTTTGAATCAAAAACGAAAAGCAGAATTGAACAAATTAGATTGTTTTCCAGGAATATAAAAAAAATAAACCCACCGTAGTGATTCTAAGATTTGATAATACCAATTGGCAGTAAAAAGACTATATCATTTCAAGTGACTCTCAATATATTCTATAAAATTTACTATTTATAACGGTATCCTTCCCTCCCTCTTGTATACATATATGTTGTGAACTTTAGCGTTTTAAGGTTAGATTGTGTTCATTTGTTTTATTTGGTCGAACAAATTTGTTATATTTGTACGTTTAAATTTACAAGGCATGTTAGTAAACACACTAATTAATGCCATATCAAGTTTTAAGCTCTGGTTAACATAGAATCTAAACTCACAAAAACTCAATTATTTTGATGTCAGGGGTAAAAGATAAAAATAAAGAATTTCAAATTCCAAAGGAAATCATTACAAAAACGAAAATGTGTCAAAAACTCATTTGACATAACAAAGTTGTATTAAAGCTGTTTAAACGAAGTGTAAGCCTAATTCTAAGAGATCTTTCTTGGTAACAAACAATCAATGCCGATGAGTGTTCAAAGGGAGTGTCCATATCAGATGCTGCATTTAGAACTAACTTTGAATTGGTGATTTTGTGAAAAGAATTTCTGCATTTTTAAGATTATTCAATAGATAAAAATCTCTCCAGGTTTCCATAATTGTGTTTCATTTACCCCTGGCCCAGGTGAAACCCAGCTTTTAGAAATGCTTCAATAGAGACACCCCAATTTAAAATATCCAAATACACCCACGATTGTTAAGTCAATGCACACTCTTCCTTTTACAGCTTACAATCGTCAAACCAAGGCTACTGAAAGACCTATGCTACACTCCAACCCCAAATCCCCCCAAAATAGCCTTATTCTTCCAGGTACCCCTCCTTCACCTTCCTTCAAGGTTTCCTCATGACCAAACGTCAGACTGGTGCAAACATCAGACTGGTTCAAACGTCAGACTAGTACAAACGTCAGACCAGTACAAACGTCAGACAGGTACATTTAAAAGGAAAAACATCGGACTTTCCAGTTAAACCAAAAAGGTCTATTTCATCCTCTACTTTGACTTTCCTGACTTACTGTTTGACAAAATCAAGATGAAGCATGGAATCTCAGTAACTTGATACAATTTTGTAAATATATTTCCCCCCTACTACCCCATGTCTATTTTTAGCTTGGATGTATAATTTAATTGAAAGCCAGACTAGCATTAAAATCTCCAATAAAAATACAGTCAGTAATGCCCGAATTTGCATATATAGAAAAAATATCGTTAAAGAATGTCGGATCATCATTATTGGGACCATAAATAACACCNCATAAGGATCAAATATCAAATTGTTTTCAACTGTAAGAACATAGAAAATAATCCTCTACCCCCCCCCACCTCGGCCCCCACTATATATGCTGTTTTAAAAATTGCATATTATGTGGCTGTCTAATTTTTCAAATATATCAAGCTGTGACTTGAAACCTAAAATTAATACAGGGAGTATACCGGACAAAAGTCTGGTAGGTGGGAAAGTACCTAAATGCATAACTAGCCAACTATAGCACAACTAAAAATACTATTATTATTGTATATTTTATTCCAATTGATAAAAAACATTGCCAAATATAAAGTGTATGTGAACCCCGCTAGATGGTATGCAGGACTGAAGTATATTCTCCAATTCCTTCTTTAAGTACAATTCAGATAATCTTCCTGGTTTAAACTCAGTTACTGCTTCATCTACACATTATTGAACTTGGTTCATACAGGAGTACGGGGATTGGGGTGGTGTTATATAAGAAGTATTATATATGTTAAAACTATTTTTTTCAGGGTGAAATTGTTTAATTATTTATCCTAGAGGGAGGCATGGGCACACTGGACCAGAGTGAAAGCCAGGTTCAAAGTTGTTGCACTCAAACCAAACATTATTTTTTTTTACTTACATATATATAGGATGTTCAAAAAAAATGTTTTTAAAATCTGCACTGTGTGTTAAGTATCTAAATTTCATGTTTTAAATTAACTTAAAGTTGATTAAAATTGTTAGTTTTTTTTGTAGAATTTAGTAAAAATTTAGAAAATATGGCAGAAAATCCACCAAAATTCAAAATTACTAAACAGTACAGTTTAAACAATTAATATCACACATACATAAATGGAGTTAGAACGAAGTTCTGTTTGTGCTTGCTGTTGGGAGAGGCTTGGTTCTAGGTCTAAATCTTTATATTCTGCTAATGAAGCAAAAGAAGAGCAAATTAGAACCTTCATTTTCCCTGGATATTCTTCTACTATCAAGCATTATCCAGACGTAGTTTGCTCTGGATGTAGGAGAAACCTGTACAGGTTGAAAGCAGGGGGTTTTTCTCTGGAGCCTGGGGAGAGAAGATTTCTTAGGTGATTAATAGAACCTTGTTTAAATATCTCTACTATATAAAGATGTATCAGGCCTATGTTATCTAAATATAAATTTCAACTTTGATCAGAGAAGTTCCAACTCCAATAATGAATAGAAAACAAATAATCTAGGTGGAATGGAAGACAATAACAAGAGGATCTAATCTACTATAGTTCCAGATATTCCATCACCATCCAAACCAGGAGATCAAACTGAAAATGGTCGTTTGTGCAAAGCATGCTACACTTTGTTGGAGCCAGGAAAAAATCACAATTGTGTATCATCTACTGCTGTGAGCAATTTAGTTTTGATGGCTTTTGCTCTTGAATCTCTACAAGCTGAGCAAATAGCATCTAAAATCATTAAGAAGAAAATGGAAGAAGAAAACCTTTTAGATGGATCTGTGGCGGAAGACGATTCAACATGAAGAGGCTGAAGCCGGATATTCTGACGCGGCAAGATGTACTTATTTTTCTGCCACGTCACCCTTGAAATTCAATCCAATAATTTAAACTTAAAATTTGTATTTACCAGTAATAAAGTAATTATTTAAACTAGGCGTTGTTTAATCCGAGCGTAGCTATATTTGGTGACCCCAAGTTCGAAACTATAGGCAAATAGACTGTTTTTCCGTGCCATTACAGACTTTTTTTAATAGCTACACGCTCGTCAAGTGAAATGCCTAAGGACAGTGATAACGTCCAAGCTCAAGCTGAACCCAGCTCGCTGGATTTAATGAACACAGTATCCCTGAAGGTTCCAGCCTTTTGGCCAGATTCTGCAGAGGCCTGGTTCATGCAGGTGGAGGCTCAGTTCGCCCTTATGGGAGTGATTGCCTGTTCCACCAAGTTCTATTACTGTGTTTCATCGTTCAACCAGGAGGCGGCTAAGCAAGTTCTGGACCTCATCAAGAATCCTCCATCTTCCGACCCCTATGAAGCCTTGAAGAGCCGTTTATTGAGGTTGTTTGTTCTCGATGATTATCAAAGGTATGAAGCAATCTCTAACCTTCCTTTCTTCGGCGATATGAAACCTTCAACGCTTATGTCACATATGCTCGCCCTGCTACCTCTTGGTCACAAGCTGTGCTTCTTCCTCCGTAGAGCGTTTCTGAAGAGGTTGCCCGCCGACGTTCGAGCTCACCTGCTGAGGGACGATTTTTCTGATCCTATAGCCTTAGCCTTGAAAGCGGATGAGATCTATCAGAGCAAAGTTTCCTCCTCTACTGTCTACACGGTTTCCAGCGCCCCGGAGGATGTTGTCAACGCCGTGAGATCCTCACCTACAAACCGCCCACGACATTCAGCAACTTCTCACTCCGGCAGCCGGGATAACAGATCATTGTCTCCGACTCTGTGTTACTATCATCGCACCTGGGGATCTAAGGCTAAGAAATGTAGAGCTCCATGTTCCTGGTTGGGAAACTAGTTTACCGGCAGTAGGATGTTCGTACCCTTCCTGCCGGGCCTTCTACCCCGTCTCCTCTAATCTATCTGCAGGATTCTCTGAGCTCAAGGAGGTTCCTCATTGATTTCGGCGCCTCTGTGTCAGTTTTTCCTGATCCAGGATCCTCAGGAGAAGATTCAGGAGTGAAACTGTTAACAGCGGATGGTTCCTCTCTATCATGCTCCGGTTCTCGAGTCATTCCTCTACGATTCGGGAATCACAGGTTTGAATGGCCTTTTCAACTAGCTCCTGTAGCCGTTCCAATCCTGGGTGCTTTTTGAAACACTACAACCTTCTGCTTGATGTGTCCAACCAGAGGGTTTTCAGTGCCGATTCTCCGACATCTCCGTCCATCGTCTTGCCAACCTCTCCAGATTCCAAGCCTGCTCCACTCACAGCCAACCTTCTCGCCACTCCTCAGTGTATCTCTGACCTCCTCGCAGAGTTTCCAGACGTGGTCTCGTCCGACGGTTTCACGGCCTCTAAACCTCGACACGGAGTTACTCATCATCTTCTCACGCAACCTGGTCCTCCAGTGTTCACAAAGACTCGACGTCTGGATCCGGAGAAGTTGGTGTCCGCCAAACGAGAGTTTTCTGCCATGGAGAAAGCCGGGATCATTTGTCGCTCTAACTCTCCTTGGTCTTCGCCTCTTCATATGGTCAGGAAGAAGGACGGAGGCTGGCGCCCTTGTGGAGATTACAGACGACTGAACACCGTTACAGTTCCTGATCGGTACCCTTTACCTTATATTGCTGATTTCACCTCTAGTGTCACAGGTTCAACCATCTTTTCTAAGTTGGATCTTCAGAAGGGGTATTACTAGGTTCCTATGGCTGAAGAAGATATCTGTAAGACAGCGATCATCACTCCATTCGGGATGTTCGAGTTTCTGCGCCTTCCCTTCGGCCTCAGGAACGCGGGGAACACCTTCCAGAGGATGATGGATTCCATCCTTGGAGACCTTCCTTATTGTTTCACCTACATCGATGATATCCTGGTGTTTAGTAGCAGTTTGGAGGAGCACGTAGGTCATCTTCGTCAGGTTCTACTCCTCTGTCATCAGTGGTTTGACGATTGGTTTGCCCAAGTGTGAATTCGCCGTGCCTGAGATAGAGTTCCTGATCATAGACTTTCTGCTCATGGTTGCTCTCCCCTGGTCAAGCATACTGCTGCGATCTCCGAGTTTCCTGTTCCTGCTGACAAACCTGCTCTACAGAGGTTCCTGGTCATGGTGAACTTTTACAGGAAATTTCTCCGGGGGGCGGCCAGAGTACTTGCCCCACTTACAGATGCTCTGAAAGGTTCTGGCAAATCTCTTACCTGGACTCCTCTCCTCGACACTGCCTTCCGTCATGCAAAGGATCTTCTCATCAATGTTCCAGAGCTCTCTCATCCTAGACCATCAGCTCCGATTTCCTTAGCAGTTGACGCTTCTGACTCTCATGTGGGGGCCGTGTTGCAGCAGAGGATTGATGATGCCTGGGTTCTGTTGTCTTTCTTTTCAAGGAAACTTTTGGACACTGAGAAGAATTACTCCGCCTTTGACAGAGAACTCCTAGCTGCTTAACTATCTATCAGGCACTTCCGTTTCATGCTAGAAGGTAGCGAGTTTTTGTTATTCACTGATCACAAACCTCTAACCTCAGCTTTGTTCAGGAGTTCTCCGCCCTTGTCTGCTCGTCAACAGAGACACCTGGCCTATATTGCAGAGTTCACGAGTTCCATTGTGCATGTGCCAGGCCTAGAGAATACTGTAGCTGACGCCCTCTCTCGTCCAGCCATACTCCACCTTTTGATCCCGTTCCAGTTGTCCCACCTGGTTCTTCATCATCAACATCTCCATCCCTGCTCCAAACCTCCACATCATCTCCATGTCATGCTCCAGACCCACCTCTCCGAGATCCACACCTGCTCCAAACCTCCAAATCATCTCCACCTCATGCTCCAGATCCTCCTACCCGAGATCCGGTTCCGGCGGTGTCGGAGGTGTTGGCTGTGTCGGCGGTGTCAGCAGTGTCAGCGGTGACAGACCCTCATCCTTCTCCACTGTCCATCAATCAATCAACTAGTGAAGATTTTTCAATTCCAGGTTTTAATTTTTCTGAAATGTCAACCCTCCAGAACACTTGCTCATCAGTCCAAGCTATGAAGGATTTACCTTCACTCTCTATAGTGAATATTATTCTGGATTCCAAGGAAGTTTTAATATGTGATAATTCTACAGGAAAACTTCGACCTTTAGTTCCTGAATCTCTACGCAATCCATTGTTCCTTGCTCTCCACAGCATCTCTCATCCTGGAGTCAGAGGTTCACGGAGGTTGGTCTCCGCCCGTTTTGTCTGGCCTGGGTTGTCTCGTGATGTCGGGTTGTGGACCAGGTCTTGCCTCCGGTGTCAACAGAGCAAGATTCAGACTCATGTGAGGACCTCAGTTCCTGCCATCCCTGTTACTTCAAGACGGTTTTCTCACGTTCATATCGACATCGTTGGTCCTCTGCCCCTAGTCAAGGTTATTCATATTTACTAACAATGATTGACAGAACTACTCGCTGGCCTGAAGCGGTGCCTTTACCCTCCATCTCTACTGAGTCCTGTGTGAGAGCGTTCATCTCTACCTGGGTTTCCAGATTTGGAGTTCCAGCAACATTAACTTCAGACAGAGGTGCTCAGTTTACGTCCTCTGTGTGGGCCGGAGTCTGTCGAATCCTCGGAATTTCTGCCTCTCAGAAAACAAGTTTCCATCCACAGTCAAATGGCATGATTGAACGGTTTCACAGATCCATCAAGTCTTCTCTCTGAGCCAGAGCTGCTGACTCTGACTGGGTTTCTCACATACCTCTGGTTTTGTTGGGACTCCGTTCAGTTCCTATAGAAGACACTGGTTTCTCCGTCTCAGAGGCAGTGTACGGTTCTCCCCTGACGGTTCCTGGTGAATTCTTAGAAGCTCCAGAGATTCCAAATGCACAATTCATCAGCAAGGTGGAGAAAGTTATAGCCGGATTTTCAGCTCCTCCGCCCCATCACGTTCAGTATTCGCCTCCAGTTGAGGTTCCGGCGGCTCTCAGGACCGCCATGTTTGTGTTTGTTAGAGAAGATGCAAGCAAACCTTCACTCAGTCCTCTATATTGTGGTCCTTACCTGGTTATCGAATGGCTGAGTAAGTTCTTCCGCCTCCAGATTGGTGACAAGGTAGATTCAGTTACCGTGGACCGTCTAAAGCCAGTGTTCTCAGATTCTCCAGTGATTCCTGCAGCCCCTCCGCCGCAAGGACGTCCTCCTCTGCGACAATCAAAGGATCCTCCTGATCATTCATCCGCCGCAAAGTCATCCGCCTCCAAGAAGAAGTCTGTTTTGTTCCTAACCCAACCTATAGTTATACCAAGAAGGAATCCTCACAGACAAGTCAGGAAAGAAGGCCTTGCTCCACCGTGACTCCGCCTTGCCTTCTTGGGGGGAGTACTGTGGCGGAAGACGATTCAACATGAAGAGGCTGAAGCCGGATATTCTGACACGGCAAGATGTACTTATTTTTCTGCCACGTCACCCTTGAAATTCAATCCAATAATTTAAACTTAAAATTTGTAGCGTAGCTAAAGATCTACCTTTTTGTTATCTACAGGTGTAACTCCACTTCAAATCAGAGTGGGAACTCCAGATAAGAAATCAGAGAGAAGAACTGTTAAGCAAATATCATTACAAGTTATACAAGAACTTCAAGTTTTATTGGAGTTGTCTTTGAATAAGACAAAGGTTCTTGTTTCATCCCTGAGAAGAGGACTCGGCAGTACTTCATCCATTGAGAAGAATCTTGGACATTTGGAATGGGTTTGATGATTGGTTAAAGTCTAAGTGTGTATTACAAAGAGGATACCAGGGGAGAGGATGGGACAGCAATAACTCCAACAGGATATTGAAAAATTTGGACTCATTAGAAATGGAATTACTGAAGACTGAACCTCATCTTGTCCCCTTCATTCAATGTTTGAAAGACTTTCGAGATGTTAAAGATGTTTGTTTTTCAAAAAAACTTGAATTTGGATACAAATTTTGTTTTGCTTGGAAAGTGCATATACTGCTCTGCCAAGTTGAACCATTTGTAGAATTCCATTTGGTTTGTCAAATTTTGCTGAACAAACTGGAGAAGCAATACATGCAAAATTCAAACCTACATGGGCAAGGTTTAAGAGACTTGAGGAACATCCTGAACATGCAGACAGACTTCTTAAAGCAGTCATAGACTTTGGTGGTCGAAGAATAAGCTGTTTTTTATACTTATATAAAGTGTTTCCATGTATGCATTAATAAAAACTGTAATAAATGCTAGCTATTTTACAAATGTCAAAATTTTGATTTAACACCTAGTGCAGATTTTAAAAACATTTTTATTGAACATCCTATGTATATGTAAGTAAAAAAATAATGTTTGGTTTGAGTGCAACAACTTTGAACCTGGCGGTTATTTTGGTCCAGTGTGTGGGGTTAAACAGGATTTTTCACTACAGGGAGGAAGGGGATTGAGGGAGTGGTGGCTAAAGGGAATCTGCAATACATAATATGTATTTATAACATGAATATTTATCATTTAATATTTATATAATTTTGTTAAAAGTTTAATGAGTAGTGATAACAGGTGTTTTTGATGACCAAAAAATATAAAAAGAGAAAAGATGACTTTTATAGTGGTGGGTGATTAGATCTAAGTGAACTGTTTCCCAGGATGTAGAAGGATAGGAGAAATATGAAGAATGTAGAATGAAAGAAAGATCTATGAAGAGTAGAAATATGAAGGATAAAAAATGAAGAGTAGAACTAAAAAGGAGGCATAAGGAAGTCTAGATCTATGAAGATAGATAGATATATATGTATAATATAATAGACGACATGAAGATCAGATGCGACACGGCACCAGCATGCATGGCCAAAGCATCACTTGTTCATGCCACAATGCAGCTCCACCATAAGAATGTCCTCTGGTTGGTAGCACCAGGCTGCGACAAGATCCTGGAGTGTGCTTCTGAGTATCAGCAGTTCTTGGACGATGTTAAGGCTGCGAAGCTGGAAAACAGAGTTGATCCAAGAGTCAAGAACCATGAATGGCGGATCTATCTCACAGGAAAGTCAGAGAAAATGAGGATCATGGACATGATTGTTCCCCTTGGATTGATCGGGTCGTTCTTGTATCACAAATACTAGTACCATGACAGCTTCTCCTCTCATCTCAGAAGAAATACAGAACATGGTAGGAGTTAATGATACCTCCCTTGCAATCAGCAGGACAAATTACGTAACCATGATGGAGATGTTTCGAATGGACGCTAGGGAGGCTGCCAAGAAATTTGACCATGCTGCAAGGTCTCTGGGGGAGAAGGTTGATAACCTCGGATCCGGGAAAAGGAGCAGGCACTAATCTGAATCCTCACCGAGGCGTCCTTCTAAGAGATCCACTTGAATGGAGCCCAGTCCAGACCTCTTTCTGCACTCCCGAGAACCCGAATCAGATGAGGACACCTTCCTGCATGATGAACCTCAGGACGATGATTTCACTGATGAGCCACCAGCAGGTCCATCTTATGGCCCATCTGAGTAAACCATTTGTTGGAGAGATGTACCTGTATTTAGTAACATGGCTGTTTTGAACTTGATCTCCGAAAAGATTGAAGAAATTTATACATGATACCTAGTCCACAATATTGCTACTTTTGAAACTATAAAAAATTATTATATGTATGTTTGTTAAACTGTTACGATGAGATGTTTTTATTACCAGAGCTTCGTTCTACAAAATTACATCTAGGTTATCCAATTTATACAGTATGTTTCAAAATGATTATAATGTAATCTCTTTAATTCCAAAATAAAAACTCTTAAATTATCTACACCCCAGTGTATGTGTACTGCCATACAGCTGAAATTTTTATAGGGTGTACAACATTGCGTTTATTAATTTAGTTTTAAGAATGTATCGCTATCTCGTATTTTAATGTTTTTGTCTTACACTTTTTCTAAATGTAAATTTCCCAAAGAAAATGGCCGCGGATTAAGAGTTTTTAAAAAGGATTTTTTTGAGGTAATTATAGTTTTTTTTAGAAATATCGCTGCAGAACTACTTCGGTTGAATAGGACTGGTCATCAATTTAAAATCTTAACTTCTTTAAATCATTAAGTTTTAAAAAGGTGCACGTGCTTAATACAGACTTTTAAATAAAAACAGTAATGTTTTAGATATTGGATCTACAGGGAAGGGTGAAAATCATCCCGATGCATTGCAAGGTTTTAAAATATTTTTGCAGTAATAATTATATCGGTTAAGAATGAACATTGTTTTCATTTCCATTTTGTTAACTACAACTTATGCTTGTATTCATCCAAAGCACGATGATAGAGTACTTAAGAGATTCCCTATCATACATGGAAATATTCAAACCTAAATTAAATAAGATTAGGTAAAATCATAAAGTTATTTTTTCTATAGAAAAATACTCTTAATTAATGTTCATTTTTAGGCGCTATCAGTTGGATAGAATTTGTGATTTTTATTTAACTCAATTCTCCATGGTAATTATATATTACAGTCAAAACTAGAAAACTCCAAAATAAGAAGATTACTTTGAAACAATAATAAAGTTTTTTTTTAATGATATTAGAAGACAAAAAAATATTTTGACTTGACACTTCTTTAATCACAAATCAAGTTTGAATTGATCATTTCTGTTTTTCCATGCTTATTGGATTATCATAATTTGTGTTTAAAAGTTGTCTTTTTTCTATTTCAGAGTTTTCTGGATATCACTGTAGGTGAAGAATTTAACGGGATATTTCAATTCAAACTAAGTATTTTTATATTTAATTGTTAATTAATTTTTTGAGTTTACAATGTAAAGATTATTACAAAAATGTTCTACATGCTTATCAGTAAAAAAACTATAAAATAGAATATGGACATTAAAGCAATGTATAAAACTCTTGATGTTTTTCTTTTTAAAAAATTTTAAGCTTTTATTTATATTCTATGTTTCATCAATTTGTTCAAGAAAAGTTTTGTTTTTTAAATTTTTTTAGACTGCAGTCTCCGCTTTATCATCTACTACTCAGACTTTGTCTTCAACTCCGGTAATTATCCCTACAAACTATATTTACTGTAAACTATCAGGGGGGAGAAGGTCAAATTCATTTATCATTACTGTTACAATTGTGACTCTGTTGCTCCTCTAGTTCTTATTTTAAATACACATGTGAAGAAAAAGTAATGATTGTATATATTATAAATATCCAAAAAAACAAACATTTTTAAGTCTTCTCAATAACTCTTTCATTAACTGAGTTATGATATAAAACATGTAAATTACAATCTTAAATGGACTGTAAAGGAAAAATGAAAGGGGGTATAGGCTGATAGATAATCACTTTAGCTCTTGATCGTGACCCATGAATGTTTTATCTGCATTTCCTGTCTCGAGAAATTGAAACAAAACTGTGTTAAAATTATACAAAAGTTCATATATATAAATTAGAAAATCATAAACTTAAATCATGTGACCAGAACTATCACCAATGGCAGAGCAGTATGCTGGTCACAGGTCTCTGCCTGTATCACATGACCACACTGCACTGACATTAGTGGAATTTCTGATCAAGCAATACGACCGTATAAATAATATTATGAATTAAATCTATAAAAATAGAAATAACAAATATAAAATTAGAATTGCAGTAAACCTAAGTTACAATGAGCTTTCTCTGGGATATTATAGTTTTCAGATTGGTTGCATATTTGCTGAATTTGATCTTTTTAAACCCACTACTTTTATACAAAATTGTATATATATTAATTTTCGTATAAATTTGACAAAGTTGTATATCATTTTCCCGCCATAGGAACATCAGATATAACTTTCATGGGTTTTGATCGAGAGCTAAAGTAAACAGCTTTCAGCCTATACCCCCTTTCATTTTTCCTTTATAGTCCCTTTAAGGGCATTTTTACTATAGTTTAACGTGTATTAGACAAAATAGGATAAAGTTATTTATATGATACAAAATGATGTTCATAAATACTTCTTTTATGACTATAGACTTTAAAAGACTTAAAAATATTTTTGAAAAAAGCCTAATGATCTAAGAATTTCACAATTCTTCAAAGTTTTTTCATATTCTAGTTGATTAAATGGCTTAATATATATTAAATTTCTCTCTCTTCTACTACCACCAGGACGTTAAAAATATAGAACATAGAAGATGACTAATGTACATAATGCCGCTGTCATACTTTAAAATATTCAAATAGAATGCACTCAATGTTTAAACATAAATTTTGGAATTGATTATATTTGTGTTACATATTAGTAGTTACTGAATTATAGTACATTAGTTCTAGGAGGCATTAGGCTATAAAGATGGAGCACATAAAGTGATCTATATCTTTGTAGAAAGTGTCAAAGAAGAATAATGAAAATTAGAGGTGAAAAAGAAGAAAAAAATTTTATTTTAGAGAAGAATGGCTGCTTCCTATATTGGCAACCGTTGGACGAGTTAAATTAAACACTTAAGTAAATTTTATTGAATATTTATAACAGCCAGGCTTTTAGGGCACTATGAACTCCCCCTCCACCATTGAAAAAATGTAAGCATTATTTTTGTTTTGTTACTATCCTCAATCTTCAATCTTTGTTTTATTTAAAAATATTTTTCCTAGTCTAAGGTTAATGTGTATTTTTATATAATGTATCTTAGTATTTTCCTAATTAAACTCTCCCCCCCCCCCTCCACTTTAAAGGAACAAATGTGGGTTCATGGGAAGATTCAATGAAGGTGTACATATTGACCGCTCAACCAAGTTTTACATATTGACAGTGCAGCTAGGTTTACCTCCCTCCCACAGCCCATTATATAATGATGCCACCCTACCCCTAGTAAAAGTGCTAGTTCGGTGTCTCTGTAGCCCGCCCTTCCCTCTATCCCTCATGTGTAGATTCAATGCAGATACATTCTGATCATTCAAGCAAACCATGAGGGGGGCAGGGGGAAAGATGAACCATCCTTAATTTAAACTCTCTTTCAAATTAAACTAGTTGAATTTAAACCCTTCATTTACTATCATTATAATTTTTAATTTCTACAAAAGTTAACTTTTTGTTCACTAGGTGTCTATTCAACTTTGTTTCAGAGTATTGAATGATTCTAATGATGATTTATATACTCTTTTCTCTCTCTTATCCCAACTTAAGAGTAATCCGCTAATTCCTTCCAAAATGTCGTCTTCACCCCTTATTAACATTTGTACCCACTAAACTACATATTCTCCATAGTCTTTACAAACGTATTTTATTAGATCTGTACCTCTGTTCTGAACTTCTATATCTTGCTGATTCTCTTTCCAATACTGTGGTCCCCGTAGAACATCTATTCATTACTCAATCTTCCCAATTACTCCAACTCCCGATTTACCAACCCTTTTATCATCCTCACATTCATTGAATCCCAATCCCAACTTCCTCTTTAGTTGTTATCCATCCCAATTCCAAACCTATTTTATCTATTCCCAATTTATCCCTGTCCAACCTATTCCAACTTCCTAGTCCTCATCCTAATCCCAATCCTTCCAATCCCAACATTGGTTAACATTCATTTGGGATTCTTACAGTTTGGGATTTTACTTATAAAATCAGAAAGAAATGTTTTATATTATTGCCGACCTTTTTACAAGACAAATGACAACTAGCAAACAAAATACTATGATTTAATGATGTATTATTGTTTCATGAATGCCTTCTTAGAATACCTTTATATACACCAGTTGTATCTGACGCTTGGATTTCTATCTTTTCTCTACCTGCGTGGTTTTAAATGGTTGGCTTGGTTTAGGGGTGGTTTTATCCCAAAACAAGAATTATTAATTTAATGATGTATCAATTTATCAATTTATCATTCAATTTAGATCTATGTATTTTTATCTTGTAAATTGTTATTTGCTATTTTTACCCTGAAATCAAACCAGGATTTTAAGTAGTACAAGCTTGACCAGTATAAAGAACACACACCATCATGTAGTGTTGATAAGAAATCCTACTAAAGCTCTCGCAATTGGCTTACTTTAAGCGAGTTTGATTTACCTATGTGATCGTGGATTATAAACATTAATAAATCATCAGAATCATAGTGCTCATCAAACAACCAGATTGGCAGATAACAGAGAGGAGAGAAAAAGTTTAAGATGGATGGTTATAGATAGATTGGAAACAACAGCTACCACCCCCACCTTCAAACATATCAACTTCATCTAGATCATTCCTCCTATCTCTTTTATTCCTCCCAATTTTACCACCAAACCAAACTATCTATTTTGCCTTACCAGCAAAACTTAGGTTTTATCTATTAAATATATGCAATGATAAATTTAAATATATTTTACAACTATGATTGCAATGTCAATGTTATCTGTTAAAAAATTGTCCTACAAACTTGTTTTCACCTCAAATTCTCAAGGTTAATTACATTCACATTTAAACCTTTTTTAATAAAAAATTATTGTCCTAGTTTGCTCTCTCTCTCAACTAAAAATATTTAGATCTCTTTAAACATTATAAAAAAGCTATATTGACACAGGTCTTCAGTTAATTAAAAAATTTTTAACTTTAATAATTTATTTTAATTAAATTTTACAATATTTTTAAATTTCAATATGATATCAGATGGAAACATTTTGAGACTTCTATATTTCTTGTTTTTCATTCTTTCTTCTTGATCTTCCATTCCTTGTCCATCCTTCAATCATACTTTGGCAAATTTTGATAATAAAAATAAATGAATATTTTGGATGTTTTCTGCAGCTAGCCAAATGCAGAGGCAGAACTATTTTTTGGAGCCCTGTACCTATATTCTACATATTGAGAGTGGTAAGGTTACTCTCCCCCTTGTTTGTTTTTAAATTTTGCGTCAGTGATGATACTGTGTCAGCTCCTGCATTCCTAGCAATAAAATTTTCTTGATGGAGGGGGAGAGGGGTGAGGGGGCGTTTTACACATTTCCCAGTTTTTTTATCTCGAGTAGGACATAGAGGGGGGGATGGGTCATCTGCCATCCTGTGTATTTGTCTTTAATCCCTATCAGTGATAAAAAATAGATAGTGTAAAGGTCAAATCCCCTTCTAATTTTTTCCTGTTTATAGTTTTCTTCTTCTTTCTTGTTTATCTTGCTTTAAGCACCCATCTCTACTGTCAAGAGATTTCCCTTCCACTTTTTTCTGTTCAATTTATTTTTTCTTCTTGCTACTTGTTTCTTGTTTATACTCTTTAATGCCTTTCCAAATAGTTGTGGAGCAGGTAGGAGAGAGAATAGGAGGTTTGTTGAAAGACGGGTACAGGGGATTTCTCCCTGTGTTCCTTCATTTTATACTGTTTCCCAGTTAGGGGAATTAAGGAATTTACCCATAACTGCACCCCATATGCAAAATGGGGAGTTTTAATCCCTGAAAGCTCTCTTGAGAGATATCTTTCATGGCAGTCCAGTCCTCACATCTGGTCGAGTAAAACACCGGTATTGTTGTGCATGGCTTGTATTCCCACAAGGGGTTAAACTCCTCTTTCAGTGTACCAAGCTGAAGATGACGTTTTGTTGTAATCTATGCTTCTAGCTTCCCCTGTAGGATATAAGATGTTTAACTTCACTCAGCGCTTCCCCAGCTGCAATTCTGGGACTGCATAGTATGAGGTTTCAATTTATTTAACCCCAGCTTGTTGGTTTTAGAATGGTGTGTCAAGTACATATCAATAAATTTGAACTCTCTCTATACTAGATGGTTCTTCATGTCACATCTTTCCTCCCAGGCCTCAAGAATTACTTTTGACACACTGCTTGTGTTTCTTCTCGTGTTCCCTAACAAGTGGAGCAGTACCAGACTTATGGGTACTAAGCTGATCTTTAAATTCCTGGATAGTGGCACCAACATATACTAAGCACACACACTCTTTATGCATACAATGGAAGTAGGAACCCAGACTATGTTTGAGCTAGTACAGGAGAATCCTAGAAGCTTAATAGCATTGGAGCCACATTTCGGATAAGTTTTCCTCTTCCAGCGGATGTTACAATTATCACATTTGCAG